CAGCTCTCCAACAACACTATCCCGATCTTCGCCTTGAGGACAAGGCGATTTCCGTGGGCGGGGGAGTTGATACCGTACATGAGGAGGATATGGAACCAGGCGGCGACCCAACACCTGTACGGCCAAGGAGGAACGTCGGGCCACCCCGACGATACCGAGATTATGTTTAATATTTTATTAATATTTTGTAACGTAGATTTTTACTAGGTGAGCGGTTTATAAGCTCCTTCGAGGGTTTCTTTTCGGTTCTTTACCTCGATGCTTTTCTTGAACCGACAGGGTAGAAAATTAGATTAATTAGGAATGGGGAAACTCTATTTAAAGGGACCAACCCTTATCAATAATAATAAGCAACTTTTATTCCCCAAAAACCCTAATCTCCCCAGTCTTTCCCCTTCGTGGCTTTCTCAGCCGTGCAAGTCTTCTTCTCTTCCTCTCTGCAATGACCGCCTCATTACCGGTGATACACTCAAGCCAGACCCCGAGAAGATCGCCGCAATGACCGCCTGGCCGCTACCTTCTACCGCGACCCAGCTTCGTGGGTTTCTCGGCCTCACTGGATACTATCGGCGATTCGTGGCCGGGTATGCTATTATAGCCGCGCCATTAACCGATTTATTGAAGAAGGACAGTTTCCTATGGTCTCCTGCAGCAACTACCAGCTTCGAACGCCTCAAAGAGGCCATGACTACAGCCCCGGTTTTGCGGCTTCCGGATTTTCGTCAAACTTTTTATTTGGAGACCGATGCTTCGGACACAGGAATTGGCACCGTATTATTGCAACATGGTCATCCCGTTGCGTTCTTTAGCAAAAAACTCGGACCGCGGCGTCGGGCGGCGTCCACTTATCACAAGGAACTTTATGCCATCGTCGAAGCTATTCAAAAATGGCGTCAATACCTACTGGGCCGGGAGTTCGTTATTCGGAGTGACCAACGCAGTTTGAAGGAGCTCTTACAGCAGGTCATACAAACCCCAGATCAACAATTTTACATTCGAAAACTGATGGGATACAAATTTCGAATTGAGTACAAGCGGGGGTCGTCCAACCGGGCTGCGGATGCACTGTCTCGCCGGGAAGAGGAGCGGGATACAGCCATGTTCCACTCCTTGAGCGTGCAAGCCGTACCACTACTCATGGATGAACTTCGGAAGGAGAATGATACACTGCCTGACCTAAGGGACCTGCATGCGGCTATTGGTAACGGTACGGCTCCTCCCGATATTAGTTCAAATTCCGGCATCCTTTATTATAAGCGGCGTCTGTATATCAGCCCCTCTTCATCCTTGAGAAATCAGATTTTGCATGAATTTCATGGTACTCCAGTGGCGGGTCATCAGGGGGTTGATCGAACCTTCCGCCGTATTGCCGATGTCTTTTACTGGCCGGGTCTCCGACGCGAGGTGCGCGCCTTTGTGGCATCGTGTCCTGCATGTCAGGCCACTAAGTATTCCACCCGCAAGCCCGCGGGACTGCTGCAGCCTCTACCCATTCCGGAGCGGGTATGGGACTCTGCTTCCATGGATTTCGTAACGGGTCTTCCCCCGTCTCGCGGCTTCTCGGCTATCATGGTTGTGGTTGACAGGCTGTCCAAATACACTCATTTCGGGCCATTGGTCGCTGGCTTCGACGCCCCTAAAGCCGCGCAGTTATTTGTTGACATAGTGGTGAAACATCACGGCTTTCCGGGGGATATCATTTCTGATCNGGGAGTCAAATCCATGACGTTTTTCACGTCTCCCTACTCCGGCCGTTTATCCAGCGGGATCAACCCATCCCCACCTCTGCTCTGCCTGCTGTTTTCTTTAAGGGGCGACCAGTTTCGGTCCCTACGGCCGTGTTGGATAGGCGCTCCGTGCTGGTGGATGGGGTTGCTCAAGAGCAGTGGCTAGTTCGTTGGTCCGATGGCACCGATACTGATGCGACGTGGGAACCGACATCAGCTCTCCAACAACACTATCCCGATCTTCGCCTTGAGGACAAGGCGATTTCCGTGGGCGGGGGAGTTGATACCGTACATGAGGAGGATATGGAACCAGGCGGCGACCCAGCACCCGTACGGCCAAGGAGGAACGTCGGGCCACCCCTACGATACCGAGATTATGTTTAATATTTTATTAATATTTTGTAACGTAGATTTTTACTAGGTGAGCGGTTTATAAGCTCCTTCGAGGGTTTCTTTTCGGTTCTTTACCTCGATGCTTTTCTTGAACCGACAGGGTAGAAAATTAGATTAATTAGGAATGGGGAAACTCTATTTAAAGGGACCAACCCTTATCAATAATAATAAGCAACTTTTATTCCCCAAAAACCCTAATCTCCCCAGTCTTTCCCCTTCGTGGCTTTTTCAGCCGCACAAGTCTTCTTCTCTTCCTCTCCGCAGCTTGATCTCGCGGAAGTCGAGTAACACTCGCTCCCTCTCATTGAAAATTTTTGAATGCTTAATATAACGATCATGATATTGCTTGATTTGCTCTTTATATAGATGACAATTGTTGTGGAAGGCTAGAGCTTTCCAATTACCTTATCGAAAGTTTCCTAGAGTGCCAAAAATTCACGATGATCATCCTCTACTAGTGATGGCAATGTTTTCCATATACTGGGTGAAATGGTGTTGTTTTGATGGGTATTTTGTAAGTAGTTTAAATAACCACAGTGCATCATCTAGCTAGCTTGTAAAGGAAATATTTATTCTTCATTTATTATATCAATTACTTTTGATATGGATTATGAAGATTTTTTCATTTCTTTTTGTTTCTTTTGTATTTAACCCCTCAGTATTGTGATGAATAAGATACTAAATCATAATTCAGTATGGTATTAAATAGGTTTCACACTTGATCTATTCCTGCAAACCGTAACTCCCTATTGCCACCATCTTCATCACTATGGTGGATGAAAAATTGAAGAAAACCAAAGCAAAGATCGATGGTAATGATACTAGTTCTCTGTTTTACACTCATTCATTAGACTATCCAAGACAAGTGCAGGTTAATGACTTGCTCACAGATAGTAATTACAGTGATTGGTCTCAAGAGTTGGAAAACTTACTATTTTCCAAGAACAAAATCGGTTTTATTAATGGGTCCATGCTAAAACTAGAAAAAGAATTGATGCCTACATGGCATGGATGCATTGTGATGCTATGGTGAAAGGGTTGATTACCACTGCCATGGATAAAGACATTAGAGGCAACGTTAAATACGCGAACTTTGCTTTTGAAATCTGGGGATAAGGCTCCGCATGCTTATGAACTTAAGCAAACCTTAACAATCACACATCAAGATGGTTCATCTGTGTCTTCTAACTATACGATACTGTGAGCTCTATGGGACGAAATACTTTCAGTGCTACCAACACCGTGATTTACGTGTGGCGAATGTACGTTTGATATTGGTAAAAGGTTGATAGAATTTAAGAAGAAGGAGCATTTGTACAAATTCTTTATGGGGTTAATTCATCTTTCTCAATAATAAGAACTCAAATAGTCTCAATGAAATGAAACCCATCTTTGGGGGAAGCTTATCATTTAGCTTTTGGAGACAAACAATACAAATCCATTGCTACAACGAGGAAATCCCACATTCCTTCGAACCTGAAAATTTTCAAACCTATGGCAAAACTCGATGTGATGGTGGGATGGCTCAACCCCAAAACAAAGTTGCACAAAAAAGAAGTCAAGCAGAACACAATAAGAGGTGTAGATCGTTCCACTCATTTTGACAAAGATGCTCACAAAGTGGGTTGGTTCAAATTAATAAGCTACCTAGAGTGGGGACATGGAAAGGAAAAATTAGAACCAACTAGGACAATGACAGTTGGGTGTGTCGAGGGTGAAAACAGTGCAGCTAGAGGCATTTTAGAAGAACAATATCTGTCTCTGAAAAATACATTTAAGGAGAAACTAGAATAAAAGCAAACAAGGTCCCAAGGGCTAATATGGAAGGTATACTAAATTAAAAATATCAATGGATTATTGATTCTAGTTCAACATATGACATAACACATGACTTAAGCGTTCTTAATATTAACTACTATACAAAGAGTGAGGTTCTAATAAGAATTCCTAATAGAGATCGGATTCGAATAAACCCAAAGGGAGTTGTATTTTTTCCTGGTGGATTGGAAAACCATGATGTTCTTTTCATTACTGATTTAATTGCAACCTATTATTAGTCAGTAGATCGATTAATTATTTACACTACTCGTGGAAATTTTACCCTTATTTTCATACCATGCAAGAGTTACTCTCAAAGAGCTTTTATTGGCATGGGCACATGCGAGAAAGCTCTTGATAGGATGGGAGTTGTGGTCAAGAAGAAAGCAGCCTTAGTGATAAGTCTTGACGTATCATTATGGTACAAGAGTCTACGTCACACTTCACTTGGCAAGTTATCAAGATATAAATTTTTTTGGGATAGTTGTTTGGGTTATAAAAGAAGTTCTTGTGATGCAAGTAATAATGGAAAACATACCCAAATCCCCTTTCCAAAAAGTTTAATAAAGTCTCTTGATTATTTGTATTTAATACACTATAATGTATGGTGAAAATAAACAAAACCTACCACTTCTCATCCTAGGTGTTTTTTACCATTGTTGACGATTATATAAGAGTTCTTTGGACATTCGTGATAAATTATATAGATTATGCTCGTGATTGCCTTGTTAAATTTCACAAGCTAGTAGAAACTTAGTTTGGAAAGTCAAACAAAAGGGTTCGATGTGATAACAGGGAAGGGGAGTTTGTATCCACTCATATCAAGAGATTTTATGCATACAAAGGAATAGTGCTAGAGACCACTTGTCCTTACACTTCACAACAAAATGGTATGGTGGAAAGGAAGCCTCGTCATTTGCCTCACACTTCGAGGTCTCTTATGTTTCGAGCATATCTTCCTAAAAGAATTCTGGGATAGTGTAACTAGACGTTTACATACATCTTAAACATGGTTTCATCAAGGGTAATTGACAATAAAACACCTTATGAATTAATTTTTAAACAGTTCTGATTACAATCACTTTCATGTCTTTGGTTGCTTGGTTTATTATCGTAGTACAGAGACCAAGGGAGATAAGTTTGACGTGAGGGGAGAGCCATAGTTTTTTTGGGTTACCACGAGGTACTAGGGGATATAAAATTTTGGATATTAAACATGGGAATATTTTAGTGTCTCATGATGTAAAATTTGTTGAAAATGTTTTCTGGCCCTTTTAAAAAGCTAAAGGCAAGTGCCAAGGATATATGGGGATTCAATGCCCCCATGGTTTATGTAGATAATTTGTTTAATGAGAATGGTTGGGGTAACGACAAGTATTCTCACAATATGAGTCAAAGGGAAGGTGGAGATCTCGAGGTAGACAATAGAGACCATCCAAAAATTGTCTTATCTGGTTTCCCTTTATAATCCGAAGGCAAGGAGGTTTTTTAATGAAGATACTATATGCAAAGATAAGTGTGTGGAATTTAATTCCCAAGCCAAGACTCTTCCCAGAGAGAAACATGTTCATTCTCAACCAAAATACTTGAAATATTTTCACGTGGAATTACCGCCATCTGTTGACCACTCGCAACACATGCCAAATTAGTAGTCCTCAACGATACATCCTCTTACTCATTATATTTCAACTCTAATCGTATACCACTTCGACGAATCGCGTGTAATGCTGTGTCTCTTCCGAGCCCAGGGCCTTTTATTAACACGTCTGCTTCACGCATACCTTGGTTTATTGCTGTACGGATAGCATTTGTTGCTGCGGTTAACGACGTTCGTCTTGTAGTTCCTTTGAATCTGGCACTACCTGCAGAAGCCCACGAAATTACGCGCCCTTGTACATCTATAACAGTGACTATTGTATTCTGTAAACTGGCCTGAATATGAATTACTCCTTTTGGTATTTTACGTGTATTTTTACGTAAACGAATACGTCCATTCCGACGCGAACTAATTCTCGGGATTAATTTTACCATAGTTTAGCTTTTTTTTATTTTCTAAATCCGAGTCGGTGCGGATATCTCATGAAAAGTTTTCCAAATCTCACTAGGCTTTCATAGCGCCCATCTCATCCAATGATGAGCAAAAGTGTTTTAATAAAGTATCTTAGGATCCAATGTGGAAAGATCAATGGAAAATAGAAATCAAAGATCTTGAAGTAAACAAAACTTGGATTCTTGAAGAGTTGTCAAAAGGTAAATGAGACATTAATTCAAAATGGGTTTATAAATAAAATATAAACCTAATGATGATATTTAAAGCTATAAGGCTTGGTTAGTAGCCAAAGGTTTAATTTTGCACACATGGAAGGGATAGATGTCCATGAGACCTTTGCACATGTAGCTGAACCTGTTATATTAAGGTCTCTTCTTGCATTAATCCTCAAAAGGGTTTGGATGACCAATCAATTAGATGTAAGCAATGTATTCCTCCATGGAGTTTTGAAGGAGCAAATTGACATGAAGTTTCCATAGGGTTTCTCAAGGGATGGAGAAACGAGAGTGTGTAGACTAAAAAAAGTCATTGTATGGTTTGAAGTAAGCCTCTCGAAATTGGTATAAAAACAGTAATGTTCTCTTGGAGGTTGGTTTCTAGCAATCCAATGTTGATCATTCACTTTTTATTTTGAAAGAAAATGGCTTTTTTGTTGCTATTCTCATCTATGTTGATGATGTCATGATAACCAGCGATCATGTGAGCAAGATTCGAAAACTTAAAGTCATCTCAACAAAACATTTAGAATTACAGATCTTGGTGCTCTTAAGTATTTTCTGGGCATTGAGGTGGCTATAATCACAAATTGATTGGTCCTCCACCAACAAAAGTATAATATTGATATTTTGGAGGACAATGGTTTGCTTGGTTGTAAACAAAGTTCACTTCCTATGGAGCAAGAGTAGAAGCTTGATCATTGTGAGTAAAGCCAAAAGGTTGATGCTACTCGGTATAGGTGCCTCATTGGTCGCATTTTGCATTTACATGTAACAAGGCCTTATATTGCTTATTATTTTAATATTTTGAGTCAATTTTTGGTTATCCTCGCCAAAAACACATGAATGCAGCTATTCGGGTCCTTTGGTATTTGAAAAGAACAATAGATCGAGGTATTCTTCTCCCTAAAACTGGAGGTTTAAATTTGGTGGCATATTGTAATTTAGATGAGCTATGTTGTAGTCTTACTAGACGTTTGAGAACTGGTTATGCTCTTCTAGTTGATGGAGCTCCAGTTTTTTAGGAAACGAAGAAGCAATTTATCGTCTCTCATTCCTGAGCAAAATAAGAATATTGTGTCATGCATAGCACGATTAGT